AGTTCAGCAAAGGCACTATGCACTTGCGTTACACATGATTTTCCCAAGAGTTACTATAAAATATATAAATCATTAGTCTTTCAAACACTATATAACATGTTCATGCTTTTAGGTTGGATTAAATCCAAACGTTGAACGAAATGGGAAACAAAGCACCAGCTGATCGCAGTCGTAGTATCTTTAAGTGTTGCCAACTTAATTTGAAACATACACGTATTATGTGCCTAATAAAACACACTGTTTTATGTAGTTTGATTGGAATACTGGAGTGCTGGAAAAAAAGTTCGGTAAAAAAAAAATGAGTGTGGCAAAAGTAAGTAAATGCAGCAATTAGCTACTTTCCGTGGTATAAAGAGTGCAAGGAAGCCTACTTTGTCAAGTAACTGTACAACAAGATTTTTTCTGCATTCAATAACGTTAGCTCAGTATCTAAAAAAAAGGAGTTTGCTTAAGTAGGCAAGGAACAAAAAGGCATTCTTTACCTATGTTTTGTTTTGATTTTTTATTCTAAAAACCTTAGTAAATACAAAATTTGATCGTTTTCTTCAATCTCTGGAATATGTTACCTTAATTAATTGTCAAGCGAAATCTTAACGATCGCTTAGAAATAATTTTGTGTGATTAATTTGTGTTAAAGACCCAAATCTTGTTACAAATGTTAACCACGTGGATCTAGGAGATGTGCCACCCCAGGAAAAAGACTTGACTCCAGTGCAAATGCTCATTGCTGAAGTTAAGTCTGTTTAGGTCTACGTGAATGTTGTTTGAAACGACGAATATTTATAACTGCGATGTAACAAAATTCGCCCAAGATTACTAAGATACTACAAACTAACGCTTTTTACTTAACATCACTGGGAAACCCAACGTAACAGTTTTAATCACACAACTTATTTATGTCTATACAAATATAGCATCTATTAAAAATTGTGGGTAATAAAATAGTTGTGATGCTTGATTGTGGGCAATAATGGCAAAGTAATTCTCTGATAACTCCGCTCAATTTTGTGGTTGCTTTTGTGAACGCAATTTTGTTAGTAAACGCAGACTAGTAGTGTTTGAAACACATTTAGAAAACAAACATACCTTGTGATTTCATATCATATAACCAAATCATTTACATATCTTATTGTAACACAAGTATTTTAAACACGCTCCATATTTAATGATTTAAATTTAAAGTTTTCCGCCAATGTATACAGTGTGATGATTTAGTTGTACCATTGACTATACACAGAATAGACTTCCCATGTGATACAAAAGTTTGAAGCAAATAAAATAGATGAAGTTCAGGATCATCTCACCAGAGTTACTAGTGTATTGGGTTGAATATTAATTAAAACAAATAAAGTATCTTAGCAAACAGCTGATTGATTTATCACTTGACACAAAATATTGTCATTAGTTGGTGACCATCTAACAGATTGCACCACGTTTCCTTGCCTTCAAATTTTTACATCACATGGGAAGTCAATCTGTGTAGAGTCAATAATTGTACTTTGTCTGTTTTTAGGCCAATGAGAGAACAGTGTAAGGTTTATTCCTAGTTTAGTCAGGCATTTTGGCAATATACCATCTCAGATTTGGCACAATGATAAGGTGATATTGGCATTGGTCGTGTGATAGCTAACTAATGCTAGAAAAGACTAACTACTCTTAACTAACATGTTTTCATGCTGCTGCAAACTGCTTTTAACTGCATTCATTTGCTTGTAATCTATTATCGAGAATTCGATTGTTAGGGTCGATGGAAGCGACTGGCCTTAGACAACATCTTTTACGTTTTACCATCCGTGGTTCATTAAAATGTTATAGAGTACCGAGGATTTTAATTCTACTAAATATACAGGGTGATTGATATATGATTGATGCCAGCTGTTTTATTTGAAAACTATAAGATATATAAACAAAGTTAAATGCTAAGTGCCTTTGATTTTTATTTTTTAAATTGTAGTCAAGTCGAAACAAAATATTTTAGACGCCATTTTTCCAAAATTGCCGCCAACTTTGATTTTTCTTATGGAACACACTGTATTCTATGATTTATTCCGGTATAAAATGTAATTTTAAGACAATTTTTCTCTTGTGTTTTTTTCATAAACCTAACCGTTTCAATGATAATAATGGTTAATGTTGTGAAATTTCGAATAAAACAGCTGGCATGCTTGCTTAGGCCTTATCGAAACTCTTTCTCATGCCGAAATCTCAAAACTTTAACCATTATTATCTTTGAAACGGTCAGGTTTATGAAAAAAAAACACAAGCGTAAAATTGTCTTAAAATTACATTTTCTACCGGAATACATAAAAAAATACAGAGTGTTCCATAAGAAAAATCAAAGTTGGCAGCAATATTGGAAAAATGGCGGCTAAAATGTTTTTTCGACTTGACAACAATTTTAAAATAAAAAATACAAGGCACTTACCGTTTAACTTTTTTTGATATCTCTTATATTTTTCGAATAAAACAGCTGGTAAACTTATATCAATCACCCTGTATGAAGAGCAATCGATTGGAACAAGAGTACTAATCACACCAACAGCTAACACCAGATCAACTGTTAACATCAAATACTGAAATTACCATGTTTTTGTTGCATTCGCTAAACAAAATTATTAAAGTATATATGGTCGATATGAGGCCTACCTTATGTTACCACAGTAGTCAAAATCTTAGCTGATTGTCGTGACAAACTTTATTTGTTTCGAAAAATCTGATAAACTGCAATATTGTAATATATAAATCCCAATATAAATTATTTTATAAAATAAATTGTAGTTGAATGGAAGACAATAGAAAAACAATAGTGCGATCAGTAATCGTAATACTACATACTAACTTAATCCAAGTTATAACAAAGAGATTCAATGACACCTACATGAACAATGAACAATTCATTTACCAACTGACTGACGATGTGTCGCTTTTTCAACTTTAAAACTGTTAACTATTTAAAAAAAAATATACAAAAAAATATTATCATGTTTTGAAATAATTACTCACTATAACTCAAACTCAATTAAAAAACATGATAAGTGCATTGATTAGGTAACTCAATAAAAGATGGTACAGAGATATAATTAAACTATGAAAAATGATACTGAATGTCGATTTCAGAGTATTAAAATCAAGGCACGATTTTAAATCTTATTGGTTAGAAATAAATTTAGACATCCTAGTGATGACTATTTCTAGAGCTGCGTCCAAGATTGGCGTTGACGCTATCGAAATCAATAGTTGACAACTAGCGAGGGAGATGCGGTCTAGCGGCATTCCGCCGAACTACAAAGGGGAGAATCGCTCATTTAGTTCAACATATCTACCAAAGGCTGCAGCACTAACCTCTTTAACGTATGATTGGGTGCTTATAAAGGTCCTACATAAATATTTCTACATTTATTAAGTACATTTATTATTATGTGATATATTTAAAAAAATTACTACGGTAACACATGGACGAAATTTATTTTTCTTATTGTTTATTGAGTATTAAGACAAAATGTATATACATTAAACTAAATAAATAAAATAATCATGGTGTTTACATGATATAGTGTAAATTGTAAACCGTATTCATAAGTTAGGCCGCAATCTCTAGATAATTTTCATTTCGCTTGCCAAGCATAATATTTCATCATTCACATGCAATAAATAAAAAAAAAAGTCAAAAGTTATTTATCACACAGAAAATAAATTAAACAAAAACAATAGTAATAAAACATCAAACAGAAAACAATTTAAATAGTTGTTTCACCTACGATCTTGACCTTACAAAGCTCTAAATGGTAATTGATGTCAAAAAATTGCAATGTTTTTAAAGTTTTGTATATTGCAAAATTTACTGTACCAATAGGTATAAAAAACGTGTATCATAGAGAGGCAGTTTTCTTCCCCTAAGAAACCTAATCTCCATATTAATTTAAAAAGATAAAATAAGTATTTCTCAAAGTTAACTCAAATTACTTGGTTATATCAGATAATAATAATGACATTTTAATAAACATTTCCTCATGCTTGGTAAAAAAAAACCATTGTCCTTTTTTTATTTTATTTTTTTTTTTATCAGAGCGTTTTCAAAGTTAGAATAACAAATTCTGTTTCACTTAAAACCTAGAGTTTTGTCAAAATCGTTTCTAGATTCATCTTTGTATAACAGGTCCAAAGTTTTTAAATTTTGTTTATAATTTTTAGCCTCTGGACTAAATGTTTACTTAAAAATAAATATGTAAAAAAATATGAAAGAATAGAAATATTAAAATGTATGCATTAGTGTCCCTTTTTTTGCAACCAGTAGTTTAAAATCTAGTACAGTAGTTCAGTTTTAGTTGAATGTCCGGTTGGTTATGAATATCCATTTAACCATTTGCTTTGCAATATTGTTTTTTACAACTATTTTAAAATCTAAGCGATAAATGGAAAAAATATCGATTAGTGTTCATCTTATTAGATTTGAATCGATTAGCGATCACTAAGCAGGATCACTTGACAGTACTCTATTAATTTTTATTTCCCTTGGTTATTTATTTTTATAAATTTAACCAGACCACTTATCAATAGATACTTCAAACAAAAAAGGGTTCGTAACCGGTGTCACACGATAAATACATACCCCTATTCAAATTAATCTTAAGAATATTATTGGTATACAAATTTTGTATACTCCTAGTCTGGTTCCTTATAAAAGGATATTATATTACACCAAGTAACCCTAGTAAGGCTTCTGCGAATACACTTACCACTTCATTGTGGTTTTCTAATTAACACAGTGTTATATTCCAGGTAATTCCAGGTACGATGCGACCTCGTTGGATTTAGCCATCTTCAGTGCAATAACTCCGAAGACTACATTGAGGTCGCGATCACCTTATTCTACATGAAAATACCTTAAAAGTAGTTTCATCCAGAAGATAAAATAGTTTTCAAAATAATTCAAAACTGTGCTACTAAGACATCTACAAGATTGTGTTAAGAGTTAGGAAGGAGCCACACTCGTGCCCTACCTGTACGTTGGTTAGGGCTAGTTGTAGCTCTTCAGGGCTAACAGGCCTGTGGTCCTGCAGACTCAACAGGGCTTGTGTCAGAGGCAGCATGGACCCCCTCAGATCTGGTACCACCTGATACATACGCTGCTCAGAACATGTCCTTGGTTATCACTCATACAGGGTTTTCTTAATAAATTGTGCTGTTTTAAATGTTAATAAAAATATAGCCGTAAAAAAACGGGTTAAAACACGGTGTCTTAAAAGTTTTTCCTCATTTAAAAGGGTATTTTAGTGATACATTTAATACGATTCTGTATGTCCACTATTGAGTGCTATACAGACATGTAACCGATTGTCGATCTCGGCCCAAATGCTGTGCAACACACGCTCTTGCTACCGACGAGACTGCTTCATAAATCATTTCCTTTCAATATGTAACATCACAAATTTTATTGGAGTACTCGATGTTTTTGACGCATTCCTAAAGGAAAAATTCACATATACTTCTAAATCAAAACTGTCTTGCGTTTTCAATAGATATGTACTTCTAATGCATGTATTCTTCTAGAGGTATGCAGTTTTTGCACAAATCCTGTTTCTAGGAACCGTTTACTCCAACGTCTGATCTTATTTTTATAAGGAACAGTTTTATTACCTAATCTTCTAAAATTTCTCTTCACTCAAAATCTGACTAAAATTTACATAAAAAATACTTTTTTCTTTATCTTGATCAGGAAACATGTGTTGTAACCGAATTCCCAACTCCATTGATCAAAGGGTGAAGCCCTTGGAAGCGCAAAATCAATGGTGGGATTCCGGCACAATATTGCTGAGGTGGAGGACCAACAATGACAACACAAGAGCTGGCTGGACACAAATATTATTTATTCATTCTAAAAATATGTATATATAAAAGCAACAATAATAAATAGCGATTAATGAATAGGCATTGCCCTAGCCAAGATATAATAATTCAAGCTTTAAAAATATTTAAAAAAATTTCTTTAATAAAAATACAATTTAATTTAGAATTGAAATTCAAGTTAGGCCTAAAATTGCCATAAAGCGAAAACATTTAAATGTGCTTTCAAAACAAATTAACTTAAGTTAGGTTAGGTGGCCACCTTATAAAACCATTTTAAAACATTTAAAGGGAATTACTTTAGCCCTAGGCCTACATTAAAAATAAATAATTTTTACATTTACAAACATGAAAACATTTACACTATCAACAAATGTGGTCGCCTCGCAAAGACTATAAAATATATTCCAAAAATATATTCCAAGCGGTAAAATAACCGTCAAGGGAGAAAAAAAAGATTTTACCCTCAATCAAGGGGTGTGAAACAGAATTAAAAGAATAGAAACTAAAAATTTGAATGAAAGTTAAAGTTAAATAAATTTAGAGAATGAAAGCCTAATTATTAAATTGCAGGTAAAAAGATTACAGGTTTTATTTTATAAGTTAAATGAAAACGTTGATGTGGAGTTAGATTTCTTCAGGTGGATGAGACTCTCCAAAAGGGCTGGACTGACCTGACCGTAAACCTTGTTGAAATCCAGGAAGCAGAAGTAGAAGTAGGGCCGAGTACAGGATGGCCGCTCCCCAGACATGGCAGCACGGCATTAGGCCGGAGTGGGCGTAGGCCTAGATGTGTAGGTAATTCCATCAGCAGGTACCGCAGTGGCAGTGCGAGGACTGGCAGTGGCACGGCGCATCAGTCTCAGCGGTGCAGTCCAGGAGAATGCTCATGTTAAGTCAGTCAGCAACTAATGGTGGCAGGCTTCAGGTGGAGTCGCCAACCCCGTGGTATGAAAACTCTACTCGCAGAAATGCTCCATTCCGAGCAGTTGCGAAACGATCTATGAAACTAAAAACTTCAGGGTTCACAAAAGAAAACTCTTCCGGAAGAAAACCCCGTAGCCTTGGAACAATCTCAAACCCAAAGTCTGAGAAACGGGAGCCACAAAATGTCAGCCGATGAACGTCCAGCAGAACGCAGCCAGTAGTACCAACCACGCAACAATTTAAACAGTGCCGTTGAGCATTGAGCACATACACACGGCACAACCTCCCCCACGAAAACCTAACTTCCTGGGGCAACAACAGAAAACCAGGACAACGACTCTGTCTTCTGGAAGGAAAACTCACTTCCAGGGGATGATTTTGCTGGGCCCAGCAATGGCAAAGAAACAAATTCGACATAACAGAGTAGTTCACATTCCTACACTGCAGGGTGATCAGGCCTACAGGGCAGGAACCTAACCTAACCTAACCTAAGATCTGGTTGTCCCCGAAAAGCCTTCAATTGGGAGATGTGGGCCTTTCTGAAAATGACCCCAGTGTCGGGGTGAGCAAGCCTCACGGTGACGGGAGACAAAAATTTCATGATTTTGTGTGGACCAGACCACCGATAACACAACTTCGCAGCACGCTTGTCTGCAGCACAACTGATTGGATGAGTTTGACAAAACACTAAATCACCAACCTTGAAAGGGTTTGCCTTGCGTCCTTCATTGTACCGTTTCCGCACCCTTTCCCTGCTGGCAATGAGATTTCTCTTAGCAGCGTCCCATGACTTTCGGACATCACTAACGCCAGGAACAGGTAACAACTCCGCCACTCCCCAGAGATTTGAGAGTGGAAAAGAGGGTGGGTAACCAAGGAACAATTCGAAAGGCACGGCTTTGTGACTCTCATGCCGGGCAGAGTTGAAAGCCAACTGGAGCCACTCAAGTGACTCGTCCCAAGTGGTTTGTTTTTCTGCATGGTAGGCAATCAACGCAGCCTTCAGGTTGCGATTGAAACGCTCGGCATGAGAGGGTTGGGGATAATACGGAGATGTGGTGATATGTTCCACCCCAAGTCCGAAACAAAAACGGTGAAACTCCTTTGAGGTGAATTGAGGACCATTGTCAGTGACAAGTTGGGTGGGAACGCCAAAGTTTTGGAACAGACGGCTCTTCAAAGCCTTGACGGTGAGGCTGGTGGTCGCTTGACGGAGGGGAAACAACCAACAAAATTTTGAGAAGGCGTCAACGCAAACAAGTAGGTAGGTGTTACCTGACCTGCTACGTGGGAACGGGCCCACATAGTCGATGAAAACCTTCTCAAAGGGTCGGCTGGCGACCTCCGAGGCCAACAGTCCAAGTTTAGAGTTTTGTGCGGGCTTGCTTAGACAACAAAGCTTGCAAGCTCTCACCCTTTCGGCAATGTCTCTGTCCATTCCCTTCCAAATGAACTCCTTGCGGATTTTCGCAATGGTTTTGTGAATGCCCAGGTGCCCACCTACAGGAGAAGAATGGAAGTAGGCAAACACCATGGGAACCAAAGCACAAGGGAGAACAATGCGGGTACCGCCTCCATACCTGGGACGACAACAGAGGACTCCCTTGGAGAGGGAGTACGGGGGCTTTGGGGTGCCAGACTCGATGCCTTGCATGAGGGGACCGAGCTCGGGATCAGAACGCTGATGCGGAGCAATGTCTCCAAACGCCAGGGGAAACTCCAACAGCACCGCACCACAGCTGGGATTTTCTCCAGGTGTGGGAGCGTCGTGATACATCCGAGACAAGGCATCGGCGATGATGTTCTGCGTACCTCGCACATGCTGTACCTTAAATTTTAAGGCAGAAATTTTGACAACCCAACGCCCTATCTTACCAAGCTGGTGAGGGTGCGCCAGCAGCCAAGAAAGAGCCTGGTTGTCTGTCTCGAGGAGAAACTCAGCATGTTCAAGGAAACGCCGGAACTTGTCAACGCCAAACACCACCGCTAAACACTCCAGTTCATAGACAGACGAAGCTTTCTTTTCTGGAGGTGTAAGGGTGCGTGACGCAAACGCAATTGGTTGTCTGACACCATCAATTTCCTGGGAAAGCACCGCCCCAATGGCACAGGAGGAGGCATCCGTCTGTAAAACAAACGGCCGAGAGAAATCAGGCATCCGGAGCACAGGTGGCTGCATGATAGCCTCCTTGAGGCGCTCAAAGGCCGACTGCTGCGCATCTCCCCATTCGAACCTTGCTCCCTTCTTTCTGAGCGCATTGAGAGGAGCAGCAATTTCAGCCACATTGGGGATGAAACGGCGATAGAAATTCACCATCCCCACAAAACGAGCGACACCCTTTGCGTCCCGAGGGGCGGGGAAATCCCGAATACCTTGTGTCCGGGCTGGATCAATGCGTATTCCTCTGGAAGAAACCATATGCCCCAAAAAGGAAATTTCATTCTGGGCAAAAGTTACCTTCTCAGGGTTTACTGTGAGTCCAGCCTGTTTGAGCCTAGTCAACACGTCCTCAATATGACGCAAATGGTCCTCAAAAGTTTCACTGTACACCAACAAATCATCGAGGTAATTGAAAACAAACTTGAACTTGACATGAGTCCAACAGACGGGTCAGTGTTTGAGCTCCTACGGCAATTCCCATAGGCACCCGCGTGAACTGATAGAGATTCCAGGGAACACAAAAACTTGTCAAATGTCTCGACTCTTTCTTGATGGGAATTTGGTGATAGGCCTGATTGAGGTCGAACACAGTGAAAAACTTGGCCTTTCCAAACCAGTCAAAGGCAGAGTGGAGATCCGGTAAAGGCACACTGTCAATCTCAATTTTGGCATTCAACCTCCAGTAGTCAAGAACCATGCGAGACTTTCCATTTGGTTTTGGGACCAAGAAAGCCGCACTTGAGTATTGAGATCTAGAGGGTTCAATGACCCCATCCTTCAACAGATCATCAATAATGGCTCTGAGATCTTCCATTTTTGGAGGCGCCAACTTGTAAGGTTGACTGCGCACCGGTGTGTTGTCATTGAGCCGGATCTCGTACTCCATCAAGGTGGTGTGGCCAAGTCGCGAAGTGAGAACCTCAGGGAAACGAGAACACAACTTCTGCAAGGCCTCTCTTCGATTCGGCGCCAAATGTTCAAAGGGTTCAGGCTTCTCTTTGTTTTGGGCCCTTCTTCTAGTGCTACTTCCTTGACCATATCACGCCCATTGGGCCCTGCCAAAGGCACAAGCACGTTGCGCTTGAACTTGAAATAACAGCACTCACGTTGCAAATCTACAATCAAACCGGGTTTCTTCAAAAAATTTGCCCCCAAAATACAATCTATCCCCAAATCCTTGGA